CAGATTTAAGTCCCTCTTGCCCTGTCTTCAATCTCACTCTTTTTTCCGGAAGTTGTCAATCACTTTAGCGTTCTAGATATTTTTCTTTAGTATTTACATACAAGTTCACACATTAGAAATGTAGTTTTGTGGATTTGGGTACATCGTAGGATATTTTTATATATGATGTTCATTTTAATAAAACTATTTAAAACTTAATAAAACTATTAAGTTGCGCATCATATGTATGGATGTGCACATACATGGAAATACATGTTTTCGAGTACTTTCCACTTCAGGACATAGAACTCTACCTCATTTTTTTAAGCAGCTGCTGGGTATTTTATAATATTTGAGATAATTTATTTTAAGCAATCAAATAAAAATCTGAAAATCCTGGTAGTTATACCATAAAATATTTCCAGAATTAGACCACTTTCCACTGTTTACACTGTCACCACCCTAGACCAAACTGCTATCATCTATTGCCTGGACTATTGCAACTGCCTTCTGTTTTTGGTCTTCTGGCATCCTATCCTTGTCTCCCTTCTAGTGCATAGAGGAATGCCTGGTTTGAGATAGATGCTGTATTAATATTTGTTGAATGAACTAATTCTTGAGTAAACATTCCTACTGAAGGTTCTTTGAGCACAGGTATGACTGTGGGATAGAGGGCTATTGCAGTGAAGTTCAAACTCTGTAGCAGGGCTTACAGAGTGTTCTTCCATCTGGCACCTGCCTGATCATCAGCTGCTGTCCTCTGCTGTGCTATGGCCATGTTGGCATTTCAGTCAGACTCAATGGCAACTGGTTTGGTTTTCAGTTTGTTTGGAAGACACAGACTTATTCTTACTTTGGGGCTTCCACATTTACTGTTTTTTCTGTTTGGAGTTCTTCCTCTTCTCCCTTCTCTGTTTCTTCCCAAGATAGACCCATTCATCATTTGGGGCCCTGCTCAAATGTCACCTCCTTAGAGAAGGCTTCTGTGACCCAGAACTAAGGAAGTCCTTCTGCCTTCTTTCCGTCTCTAGTCTACTGCAGCCTTTTAAACTCCTGTGAAGCACTTTGCACATGCTCAGTCTTATTTGTTTGTGATTTTCTGCCTCCTTCCCCCCCGCCCCAATCCCAAGGGGACTGAAATGATTCTGAGGTTTCTGGCTTGTAGAATTGGATGCATAGGTAGTGTGTAGTTTACCAAGGCAGAAAACCTAGTTGATGAAGTATGCTCTTAGGTGGATGTTGTTTTGATTATGTACTAGTTGATTCCTTTCTTGAATTTTATTTATCCTTTCAGAAAGCAAACCAACCTCCATAAATTTAGTTTTGAGCGTGTTGAGTTTAAGTTGCCTGTGGACATTTAAGAGGTGTCAGGTAGGCACCTGGCTGTATGCATTTGGAGCTCAGAGGTACGTCGGGGCTGGATGTGGTGCGGGGTCTGACAGACCGGATGTGAATCCCAGCTCTGCCATTTCCCAGCTCTACCAGTGACTTTAAGCAAGCCATTGGACATGTCTGAGGCTCTTTGCTCATCTGTACAATGGGATTAATATCATCTACTTTACAAGGTGAGGATTAAATGAGATTGTGCCTAGAGTGCTTAGCACAGAGCTTGGCATGGAGAAGAGTGACTTCAATATTATTAAACGGATTGGGCTGGGTGGTTATAAGGCTAACTTTTGAGGACCTATTGTATGTCAGGTATGATGCAGAATGCTTTTACGTAGGTTAGTTTATTACTTCTTACCACTGCTTAGCTAAAATTTTAGCTCCTGTGCTAATACCGCTTTCTCTTTATCATACAGCCCTGAAGCTTCCCCAGGAGTCCTCACCCTCATCTGTGCCTTTCCCTTAATGCTTTTGACCCTAATTCCTTTGACAGCTTTAGGTACTGTAAACAACCCAGTGTATAAAAACATGAATCTATTAATATTCAGGAAGTTATTTGTATTAATGTTCTGTTTGATTTGTAGGTTTTTTCAGAAACAACTGTAGTTTAAATTACATATACCAATACTCTCACAGGAAACATGGCTATTAGGTTATTGCCAACAACAAACTGAGATAAACTCAAATACCAGAACTCAGTGTGTTTTCCCATTGTCTTTTCAAGTCTGGTTGTGGGGTTAATTAACTGCATTGTGCTTAACTTAGAGTGGCGGGGCTTCATCTTCCTCCTGGACTGGTGGGATGACATAACTGAATATGGCTTCGTCTGTTATTGTAAAGTTTCTGATGGGAGTAGATAAAACTGTTATTTTAACATGATGTTTTAATTTTAATATTAAAAAATTATCTTTGGCCACCCGATGCACTCTTAACCCAGAACTGAAACCATTCCCGGAGCCCACTCTTCAGACAAAGATTGAACAGGACTGTAAAACAGAAAATAATACACGTGAGGAACGTGCTTCTTAGTTCAATCAGATATACGAGACCAAATGGGCAGCTTCTGTCCAAAAGCAGGATGAGAAGGCAGGAAGGGACAGGAACTGGTCAGATGGACACAGGGAACCCGAGGTGGAAAGGGGGAGTGTGCTGTCATGTGGGGATTACAACTAATGTCACAAAACAATATGTGTATAAATTTTTGAATGAGAAATTAACTTGACCTGTAAACTTTCACCTAAAGCACAGTTTAAAAAAATGATCTTTTTCCTGCTCGAACATGGAAGATGACCCTCTCCTTGGAAGTGCTGTGGGCTCACTCATTTCTTCCTTTCAGTGTCTGTCAGGTGCCTTGGAGGGAGAATGAAATGTTTTGGGCCTCTTCATGGCACATGTTTCCTGACATACATGGTGAATTACTCATTCTAGTAATGGACTTCATAGACGGACTCCAACTTCTGTTTAAAACAAACATTTTGTTCTCATCATTAAGGCAATAATATTGTCTTAAAACTCATAGTTTCTATTGTCTACATTCACTGCACAATAAGCGGTTGTGTACTTTTGGGCACATTTATTTCTCCCACAAATAGTTTCCACTCTAAGAAGTCTTACAGTGATTGAAGAAGCCATAGAAAGTTGTGTCATGAAAACTGGACCGAAAGGGAACAGGAATGAGAGGTGTCTTTATTTTAGATTTACTTAGGGCTGTGTTTCCAGTTACCTTGTCTTAAGCCCCAGACACGTGGGCATCATTTATGTACACAGTTGGGATTTAAGACCAAATTGAGGCCAATTCAAATGGTATATAAGTTGGACAAGAATGCAGGAAGAAATGAGTCAGAGATTTTTTTTTTGAGAGAGTATTTTGTCCTAATCTTGAATGTTATTTCTTTTTAGATGACAGAAAACCAATAAGTCTACATAAAGTTCCAGACATTAGGTTCCTTGGACTTACCTGTAAGAATGGTTAAGATTCTAGTACTAACGAATAGTTTCCTACTTTAGTGAACTTACATTATATTTTATAGATAAAATATTTTGCTATTTTAAATTAACAGTATAATATAGGTTTAAAGTATACATTAGCACTGGACTTGTCTTTGAGAGTAGCAGCTACTGATGTTAAACCAACCTGTTTCTTTTTCCTGATAAAATACGAAACTGTGTTTTTTAAGTTTTCCCTTAATGTTACTTGAGATTAGAAATGTGATTAAAAACGAATCAGAGCTTTGGGATAAAGCACGGCTTTGTTTTCAAACTGCACATTTCCTCCCGCACTGCCTCTCCTCCTCTGCCCCTGCTGAGAAGGACGGGTCTGGAGATGGTTGTGATGGGATGGTGACTCCAGTTCAGTGTTATATTGTAAAGATAAGACTCACACTGGTTCATGTATTTTATTCTATACATAGCTTCCTTTTTGAATAAAAGTCAAGATTAATGTCTAAGTTTCACACAGAATTTGTCGAATTTCATATTAAATAAAATTACCTTAGTTCCTGTGAGATGTGTTTGAGGTTAAAGAAAATACTTCAAACATTTTTTCAAGGTAAGAATCATCTTAAGTGAAGGGAAGGACAGCACACAGTACAGGGGAAGTCAGCACAACTGGACTGAACCAAAGCTAAGAAGTTTGCTGAATACAGTCAAACACTTTGAGGGACAGAGTAGCAGGGGCTGTGGTCTGGGGAGCATGCTTTCAGGGGACATCTAGGTCAGTTGGCATAACAAAGCTTATTAAGAAAATGTTCTGCATCCTACTTTGGTGAATGGAGTCTGGGGTCTTAAAAGCTTGCAAGCGACCATCTAAAATGCATCAATTGGTCCCAACCACCTGGAGTAAAGGAGAATGAAGAACGCTGAAGACAAGGAAAGTATTAGCCCAAGAGACAGAAAGGGCCACGTAAACCAGAGACTTCATCAGCCTAAGACAAGAAGAGCTAGATGGTGTCCAGCTACCACCAGTGACCACTCTGACAGGGAACACAACAGAGTCCCTGATGAAGCAGGAAAAAAGTGGGATGCATAACTCAAATTCTAGTAAAAAGACCAGACTTAGTGGTCTGACTGGGACTGGAGGAACCCTGGAAAGCATGGCCCCTGGATTCTCTATCAGCCCAGAACTAAAACAGTTTCCGAGGCCAACTCTTCAGACAGGGATTGGACTGGACTGTGGGACATAAAGTGATACTCATGAGGAGTCTGCCTCTTAGCTCAGGTAGATACAAGAGACTAAACGGGCAGCTTCTGTCCAGAGGTGAGATGGGAAGGCAGAGAGGGTTAGGAGCTGGTTGAATGGACACGGGGAATCAGGGGTGGAAAGGAGGAGTGTGCTGTCACAGTATGGGGAGAGCAGTTAGGGTCACATAACAATGTATGTATAAATTTTTGTATGGGAAAAAATAAAAAAATTAAAAACATTTTTTCAAAATAGTTAAGAAACATTTTAGTTAAAAGCACATTGTTCAATGAAAACATTGTATTTTTAGAGTGGTTAGAAAAGGAAAACTATTTAAAACACATGCTACGTCCATAGGAATTTTAACTTCTGACCTTGCAACAGAGAGAAACATGAAGTCATATCACTTTTTCTTCATATTAAGATGATCATAAAAACTCCTCTGGTTATAGGTAACTTAACTTGATGGATGGTAATATGGTAGGTTCCATATTCTGTGTGAGTATGTGGGGAACCTGTTCTTTGTGTTTCTGTCTACATAACTTGAAATAGTGGGTATTTCGTCTTTGTCTGAACTCTTGAAACTTTCCCCTGGGCCTCCAGAATGAACAGAACAGTTTACATTCCACAAATTGTCCAGGCCCTCTCGCTGACTTCCTTTGTCAGTATTACTTAGGAAGTCTTTCAGAACTTGCTTGAAGATGTAGACTATTTCCCATGGCAAGACATCATTTTCTGCCAAAACTTCTCGAAATCTAGAGGGAAAGCAGTAATGAGTCTTCGATTCGGAAAATTTCTTTTGTCACATCCCTCTTTCTCCAAAATACAGTTTAAGCTACGAACTTATAATAGTCACCCATCCTTTGCGTGATCTGTACGTTGTTTTAAAATTATGCCTCTAGTAATGAAATGAAAAAAGATTCTTAGCCAATAAGATATTAACAGATATTTTTGTCCAAGTTATCCCTAGGGGTTTTGGTTGCTGAGCATTTAATACACATGATTAAAGGATTTACATGATAGAATACAATTTCCAGTCTATATGAGGAACTTAGATTTGACAGTAGTAAATCTCACAAGACAAGAATATAGTATTTTTACCTGCTGAGAATAGTTCCAGCGTGGCAAGGTTGAACTTGTGAGCAAAGAACTTCAAGTTGTTTTTGTTCAGTAGCTGGGATAGTTGTATGGGGATTCTGGTAGTTTCTCAGCCAGTTGTAATCCACACCTGTTTTTTTCACTTTTTGTTCATTTTCAATCTCTTGTATTAATCTCTCTCTCTCCTTTAGATGCCATTTTAATTCACGAAGCAGAGTCTTTGTCACCACGTCTGAGCCAGGACAGTGTGTGGGCTTGTAGGAGTCATTTTTTGGCCGCTTCAGCCAGCCAAAAAGTGGCATTTTTAGCCTATGGAAATATTCTCACTTGTTTATTTGCATAAAATGTTATGGATCTAATGAACAAATATTGATTTCTTTACAATAAATTTGTCAGAAAAGTGCATGGAGTTTTCCGTGGTTAGATATGCAGGTCAGAATAAATGAAGATTAGAACACGGATTAAAATCTTTTAATTTCTAACTAGGTCAATGCCAAAAAACAAGCTTTGAAAATACTTTCTGGTGGCTAAGCAGAAATTGAATATGCAGAGTTGGAGGTAATCTACAGACAGAACAATTTCTGAAAATAACTCACTAACACTTGCTATTAAAGTTCTTAGGAGGTTTTAACGTTTTAATTGGTCGGAAAGTGCTGTCTGAAAACCCACCTTTGCTCTCCACTTCGTCAAGAAAAGGCTTACAGCATACCTGTTAAGTTGGTGGATCCGATGTGGTGATGTTGCCAGAGTTGCCTTGAATTGCTGGGGAAGCTATGCTTTACTCAGGCATGTCCTGTTCTCCCGGATGTGTCCCCTGTGGAAGGAACCAGCCTCCTTATTTACCCACTGAAAGGGTATTTGAAATAAATAACTTGTTATGCTAGGAATGAGGTTGTGATGTCTTCATTTGGAGAGAATGCTCATTAATTCACCTTGTAAGTAAGCTAGAAGAAATGACAAAAATAACTTACCATTTAATCTTCGCAGATTATATAATGGTGTACCTTTTGAATGCAGTTCAGTCTGTTTGAAAAAGGTGCCGGCAGCTATGGATGCTGGTCCTAAATGCATCTGGACGCATCTTCGGTGATGAAATGAGGCACGGTCGTCTGGAGCGCCCAGATGTGCTCCTGGCTAAAGTTAAGACTGTCGCCTGATGTGATGCTGTGCTGTGCATAGCTGTAGGTCACAGCTCAGTGCTGTATTTTTATGCCTGTAGAGCTCTAAAAATAACATGCTGCTTTTATTCTTCAGCTGTAACTTTCAGGCCGTTTAAAAGCCAGGTCATTATCCCCTCTAATGAAAGCAGGAAAAATAGATCAGACTTGACTCTTTGCAAAAAAAAAAATACATCTGAGAAAGCTTGTTGTACTTGAGCAAAATAGGCAAAGAATGCTGACATCAGTCATGTGTGAAATATTTAGCAAATGTTACATTCTGTACTCATTTTGTTTTTCTTGCTAAATAGTACTTAAATTTGTTTAAGTTGATATACTACAGTAAATTATAAACACTTAAATAGGTAACTTTAAAATATACTTCGGAATCTCTTTAAAAACAGTGATAAGGCAATAATAGGTCAAGGTCAGAAAAAAAGAGACTAAGAACGTATGAAGTTCAGAATAAAATCTTAGAATTCATTATAGAAAATCATTTTGGCATTTTGAAGCTGAAGGTGAAACACTTATGCTTATTACTGTTTGGGAGAGCGCTGATATGGAATGGTCTTCTGTTTCTAGTCAAGTGGTGCTTGTCTCTTGCTAAAGAGTTGACAGGGTATATAAATGGTCGTCTGCTCGCTGGTTCTTTGTTAAATGACCACCCTACGTACTGGCCTTTCCTTTTATCATGTGTGTTGCTTCCATTGCTTTTTCCTTCAGATGAGCTGAGAAGAGTAGATGTTTAAATCAGACCTGCAGTCGTGCACAATCATGAGTGATGTGTGTGAGTACCCTGTGGTTTGTATCACTGATCCCTTAGAAAAAGCCAGATGTCAGGGCTCATTATCTTCAACGAGAAGGTTTTCACATTCTATTGTGTATGGTACCACGAGAAGTAAAGGACTCAAGATTATCATGACAGAAATGTCCTACCAATTTTTCTAATAAAATTAAAATGAATCCTCCCACTTCCTTTAAGTAACTTTCTTGTTACTGCTTTTATTTTTTTTTTCCTTCTGAAATGGTAACAGCAATATTAGACTATATCGACTGTGGACCATGAGCCGCATCTTCCTTCAGGGCCTCTGCGGTGTGGCACCCCTGCCCTCCACTTGGCCCTCTCCAACTCCACCCCAGGCCCGATGGCTTTGCTTGCGGTGCTCGTTTCTGACCCTTCGGCTTTGGTTAAAGCGGCTCTGTCTTCTGAAAGGCTTAGTCTTTCTCTTCTTTGTGTATCCACATTTTAATTCTCTTTTTAGGGCCCAGCTCAAATACCAACTAATTTTTTTCTTTTGTCTGAGGGAAAACATCGACATTGTTTTTCTTGGCCTTGCTACCCCTTTGAACTCTGGCTTTATTTCTCTTTACGGTTGAATTTATAGAAAGGCGGAGCTGTGTTCTTCTTTCCTCTTATTGCCCCCTGTTCCTTATCCTTTCAGATGAGAGTCTGCTCTGTCCTCTTCTGGGGTTGCTTGCTTTCAGTCAGTCAGCAGACACGTATTGAGTGTCTGCATGGGCAGGATACTGGTTAGGGGCTGGGGATGCAGCAGTGAACCAGATGGACATAGTATAGTCTCTGCCCTCAAGGATCCAGCCTTCCAGTGGGAATACAAAACAAGTCAGGAATCATTCAGTAGGGTAATTATAGATTGTTGTGTGTTATTTAATCAACCTGAGGCCTCCTTCAGATCTGCAGGCAGGGAAGCCCTTTCTGGGTGGGAGGACATCCTTAGAGCTGAGATTTGAAGAGGAGCAATGATCTAGCCATGCAAAGAGCCTCTTGAAGGTAATCTGCTTTCTCTGCCTGACCTATTTAACACTTAGCTTGCCATTGAGACTTTGCTCAACTCTGTCCTTCACGGAGCTTTTCTTTCTACCTCAGCTCACGTTGAGTGTACCTTCCTTTGAACCCCTTATTTGTGTAAAACATTTTCTCACATTTTGTGTGTGATGCTTGTATTTATTACACGTTTTATCTTTATTTCTCCTATCTCCTTAGATTGTTAGATTGAAGTAGAGACTAAATATCATTCTCTGATTACAGTATTTCCCCTACTACCGTGTAGATAGGGAACATAAATATTTGTAGATAAGGTAAGGAAGTACCTTTTTTGTTAATCCTTCCTGTTTTATCAGAGTATAAACAGATTAACGTTGGATTTTTTTTAAATCATCTGAGGAGTTTATTATAAATTCAGATGAACTAGATTTTATTCCTCGATGTAGTAGATACCAGGATCTCCCAGGCATTTCTCTTTAAATAAGGCCCCTGGATGATTTGATGCCTGTCTTCAGGATCACAGGTGAAGAACATTGACATGGAAACTAAGAATGTGCCCTGTGGGGTTTTTTTTCCTTCCTTTTTTTAAATTGTACTTTAGATGAAGATTACAGAGCGAATTAGTTTCTCATTAAACAATTAATACACATATTGTTTTGTGATATTGGTTGCCAACCCCATGACTTGTCACTACTCTCCCCTTCTGGACCTTGGATTCCCCATTAGGAGCTCTCCTGTCCCCTCCTGCCTTCTTGCCCTTGACCGTGGGTTGGTGTGCCCATTTAGTCTCGTTTGTTTTGTGGGCCTAACATTGGATTTTCTTCATCCAGCATTTTAGTATGGTGAATAAATGGGCTGTTTCTAATGAATTTCAACCTCATTACACTAGTTTTTCCTGGATGACAGAGCCTAAACTATTAAAGAATTAGGTCATTTTCTTTTTGGTCATTGTCATGATTTTCTTGGATGCATCTTGTTGGCTGAATAGTATAACATTTTATAAGACTAAAAGTGAATAGGGCCACATCTTTCATTGTGTGTGTGTAAGGATTTAAGATGTGTAAGGAAGTACATAAGAAGATAAGTCTGGAAAAGAATGTTAGGACAAAATTATGGAGCCTAAGGACAAGCTAAGGGGCCTGGCACAACTTAGGCCCTGACTCTTTACGTATTACAGTTGGGACCTCGTAGGGTATTCAACAGCGTTTGATTGCAGTTAGAGGAAGGTTTGTTTTTCAGTGTGGGGGGACCAGTAGCCTTCTCTTTTTAATCCCTTTGCCACGGAATTAAAAGTTCTGGATTGGTGGTTTGTTTTTTTTTTTTTTTGGCTATTAAGGATGCAGTTAGTATTTGAGGAGAAACTGCTGTTTAATTTATTTTCTCAATATTATTTCCTCTTTAAAAATACTTTAATTAAAATGCATTTACTTTTTGAAGTTAAGAATCATATTTCTGTTGAGTTGTTCATATCTTGAGGATTCTTATGTACTCCTTTGTTATGTGCTGCAGATGTTTTCTTTCAAGAGACCACTGTTCTTGCTCCCTGACCTTTAGAGAAACATTAATCATGAGTTTAGATTACAGTTTAGTTACATTTATCAGTATTGGCTTTTACTTTTTGTGCTCTCATTTAAGGAAGCCATCTCTACTCCTAAGTTATCAAACATATAATAATATTAGTTTTATAGGCTTAAAAAAAGTACTTAGGTTTTGTTTGGAATTGATTTGAGATTGATACGAGGTGTAGGGATCAGACTTTTTTTTTCCCTACCAAATTAGATAGCCAATATCCAAAGTAAGTAGTCATTGCTCCAGCCAGGAGATTTTCCTGGTGTTCCGTATGCTGAGTAATTTTGGTGTGTATCCTGGACTTTTTGAATATTATGGGGCTCTGGGTCTTGCTTAAATCCTATGGAAAATGTTGATTTTTTTTGTATTAGCAGGCAGTTGACCAAGTTGTGTTCAGGCTACAGGTTCCAGCCTGTCTTTTGTGGCTTGTGGTTTCAATATCAGTTCAGTTTTCAAAGCCTTTGCAGTGCTGTTTGGATCTGCCCATAGTTAACAATGTGTTTGGCAGGCTGTTTAGGGCCAAGTCTGTGCATGCGCAGCTGAGGGCTGAGCTCAGGAGTCCACAGACAACTTTATGGGGTCTGCTTCCTAAGTTCCTTCCTTCCTGGCTGCGACCTCTTGGGTGCTTTCTGATGCTCTGGGGCTCCCTCTTGTAGTTACCTGGCCAAAAAGCTGAGGCTTTATTTATCTTTCTCTGCAGTGCACTTCTACAACTGTATCTGACTGCATCTATGTCCAGGGCCAAGTTCTGGGACGACAGAGGCAGAAACAAGCAGTGAAGGCTTGCCTGCCCTCCTGA